TTTGATCTAAATTATTAATAACAGCAATACAATTTCTAATACGGGAGGAAAACGAACTTAGTTCTCTTAAATCATGGTTTATTCTAGGCAAAGCGCGGATGATCATCATCTCGTGTAATACGATGGTTTCAGGCTGCGCAAATGTTTGCTGCAGTATGTCCATCACGAGATCAGGATCCTCAGCAGTTTATAATAACGATGACACTGTTTCAAGGGCAGAGCCACGTAAAGCGCCTCGCAGGCGAGCGAGATTTTCCGTATTAGAGAATAGGTGTTTAGTATCTCGGTACGTTCTGCTAAACATGAGCCATTCGATTGGCTTACCACTAAATTGTATCAATTCGATATTATACTTGGTCACGTATCTATGAGAAATGTTATTATTATGACAATTATACGAATTTTCAAACATTTTACAAAAATTTTGACGTTCGGTATTTTCATGGTTTGGTTTGACAAATGATTTGTTTGTTTGGTTGGAATTGGAATATTTGCTTTTGTAAAATCGCGGATCGAAAATTTATTTTGTACACTTTTTACTTCCATACTAGGGTGAGCTAAACTTCGTGAATAAACAAAATCGGGTGCAATGATGGTATCGGGGGCTACGGCTTTCGCACTCACTGGTTCAACTGGAAGGGGAATACAAGAGCCGTGCTCACTGGAATCATGGAATGGTTGCAAAGCAGGGAGACCTGATGTGTGATCTCATTAAAGGGGAGATCACGGTTCTCTGCCAAACCATGATTCAATTGGTCATTGACCCACGATTGAGTACGAGAACGACTGACCGAGCAGTTGTCTTCGGACTCCAGCGCAGCAAGGCTGGCACGTAGCTCTATCTTTTCCACAGCCTTTTGTTGAGAAAGCAGCTTACGTTCCAGCGCCTGCTCTTTTTCGAATTGCCATCGGGCAAGTTCAGCCTCCGCGGCCAACCGACGAGCCTTTATTGTGGCTCTCGACCGCGAATATCCCGACGCTTGAGATTGAAACCTGGAACTTATGTTATTTTTAGAAATAGGGCTCGTAGAGGGGAAGGCAAAATCAGTGACAGGTGCTACTGGCTCAGAATTGAGTGATTTGGGCGAAACAGTGGCGTTGACCAAAGAAAGGTCCGAAACAGGGGACTGGTCAACCCTGCCCACTAAAGGCACATCTGAGGGCGCCTCTCGCGGATTTTGTTGAGCCTTTGCCAGCAACATGGATTGAGCTCTGGTTAGCATTATAATATTTTAAAATTCAACGGGAGAAGGACCAAAAATAAATGTGAAGCAAATTTCGATAGCTTAAAAGGAGAGAAAAAATAAGTAGTGCTCAATCCAATGCTGACATAAATAATGTGCAAAAAAAAGAAAAGAATATTATTAGAGATTAACAAAAAAAGTTTACTTCTTATATTTAAACCAAAAAGATTATAAAACAATAAATATGTATAAAAGAGAATATTAACAAAAGGCTATTTACACAAGAATTCGCAACAGGTCTGTTGTTGAATTGTGAATTTCAGGATTTTGTTTCTGTATTATTTCAGCGAGTTCTTCCTTAGGGGTGTCTTTGGAGACTCCTTTTAATATAAACATTGGGCGCAGTTTATTGATTGGGGTTGCTTTCGACGTTGGACTATTTATGAGCTTCGTGACTGTCTCATCTCCTATAGTGTGCGTATTTATATCAGGATCAACTAGTTTGGCCTAGGCTAAACTGGTTTATCCTATCGGGCTTAGGACAAATTTATTTGGACTATTCTATACTAGTTAATCCTATCGCGTATAGGAAGAACTAGTTAAACCTAGGCAAAATTAGTTTGTCCTGAAATCAGGTTTGGCCGGTAACATAAATATCACTACGTTATCGTGCCCGTAGAGACCTATGCAGTTGAAATTTGGGGTCAAGCAACTCCTTCTTAACAGAAACAAACTAGCTTCCCTCCAACACAGCTTCGTTATTATCACGCTGTGTACACGAATGCAGCAACTGCTCTCGCATATTTGTACCCCTTGACCTCGAGTTACCCATATTGCTCCATCTCATACATAGAACATGTATGAGATCGAGCAATATGGGTTACTCATGTTTCACAGTTCCTACCGGGAAGCTCCAGTAACAGTCTGAGAACTTTTAGAACCAGCATGCCGTGTCTCAACCGAATATAAAATAGCTTGTAATCGACAAAGATAAGTTGACGATGCCTGCCTTCCAAACACCATACAAATTATCACAAATAAGAACAAATTGGAAAATGCGTCCGTGGGCGAAGCGTTAGTTTGGGTAGATCCGGACTCACCTCCTCCCATCACCAGTCGCAAATTCAAACTACACAGTGTGTGCTTAGTTTGCCAAACCGAACTGTACGCCAAAGGACATGGCTTAAAAACTGCCCGTAACGTGTATAATTATTTCACTAAAGCCATATAACCATTTAATATTTGTTTAAAAAATATTACGGGTTTATTATTCTCATAGAAATTTCCTGAAATAATTAAATATTTAAATGTATAAAAATTTACTTCATGTCTGTATCAAAAAGAAAATATTCCGTTTTACAAAAATAATGAACAATAAATCTCTACAAAAAATATTTGTGTAAGTTTATCGAAATAAATAATATTAATTCCAAACTATGAAATTATATATATTTGGCCCTATTTTTTAAAACAAATTACTGAAAGCTTAAAATAATTTTGTTTTTCTGACCTGACTTTAGACAAGACCGTATAATAATTTTATTAATCCTTTGATTTTTGCAAATGAACTAATTTAAACTTCACAGATTTCCTGTCAGGCTGAAGACAACAAATTATTTGTATTTATTTCTGCTTTAATTTTTTTTTGTGGTGTTTATTAGAGAAATGTGAAGAAAGATTCTAAGAAAATACGAAATTGATGGCACTTTAGATAATTGGCAATATATTTGATTAAATGTAAGCAAGGTAATGACGTAGTAGGAGTTTTCATAATTTTCAGGATTGTAACGTTATCAAAAGTTCCTGTGCCTTTTTCTTATACATATATTCTTTAAATTTTTCTAAGTACAATATTTATACATTGCTAGGGCAGTCGCACATACAAAATTTTACCAGTCCTTTTAAGATGCGAGCTTACGGTTGGCAGAGGCTATTAGATAGGGACGTGTTAATTTTATCGGACTACCGATCCACTTTGGACACCCTTCATCAACGAGGTAGTACGGCGCATTGGTTGTTTTTAATAAATTTATTGATTATCACCAATTATAAAAAAAATATCAATACTTACACGACGTGAAGTGGAATTTTTACACACTTTTACAAATAATCCGGTGTCGGTCGTTAACAAAAATAAATGAAGTCTTGCGTTTAAAAAAGATGGCCCTCAAAACGTCAAATGAAAGTAGGTGCGTTTCGTTCCATGCACATTTTTATTGACTTATATAAAAAATATATCAATCTCGAAAATCCCGGGATTCATTACATTTAGTTCCGAAAATTTCGGGACTGAAATATGACCGAGATCCCGGATCGAATCCTCTATATATAGGTCATACTTTCCAATTACAGCATTATAGCGCATTATGCGGCATAATGCTTAACGTTCAGTGTTTCAACTACAGCAACGCTTCGCACAATCGAGCACTCTCAAAAGTAATGCTTTCGTGTGATGCGTGCAATCGTACCAACTCAGAGACAGAAAATTAACAACTGTTTTTTCTTTAAGTTGGCATTGATCGAAATGTTTTATTTATATGTTATAGTTAGTAATATTAATTATTGTTGAAAAATTATTAAAACTTTCGTTTCATTATAGTTTTTTTTTTTAAATAATCAAAGTTAATTCAAACTGTGTTAAAAAAAATATATAAATATGGATGAAGGTACTAACATTGACTTTTTTTTCAACACTGAACTTAGCGCACTCTGCTGGTGCATTTGAAAACTAATTCACGTTCCAATTAAGCATCAGCATAATTCGGCATTGTGTGCCACTGAGTCGCATTATGGTCTGTAATTGGAAAAAGTAATTGACTTAAATGATAATGTCCTTAAATATCTACTTCGACTTTTCATGTTACCCTAAACCCATATAGATAACAAATCTTTACAATTAAGCATTAATATTTAGTATTGTTCCTAAGCGTTGTATATTAAACACTTCAGAAGCTCATCTCTGTCACTTAACTCAGTCAAGTTTATTTCCAATGGAAGGCAACCTTTGTCAAGGAACCAAAATGATTGCAATCGCTTTTATTTTCGTCGAGTATATTATTTATGTCAAAACTTTTACCAAACTCTTTCAGATGTTCTTCATAATGCAGTGAGACTAACAACACTGTTACTGTCAGAGCGACGACTCGATTAAAAACTTTTTGGGAAAAGTACACTTTTCGAGTAAATTATATCAACTTTTTGTACCAAAAAATATAATGCTCTGAACAAACCAGTCCCTTAAGTAAATTGTTCAAATCTTTTAATTTACTTCGCTTAATTATAAACTTACCCCTGTTGGGATTTCTGATATGCTTATTCACCTTGATATTTACAGAGTTGTAATTAAAACAATTATAGCGAAGTTCGAATTTGTTTCATAATCTCAATATTATATTTTTTATTACATTATATAAAAAAGGTGCCTTAGCTTCAATTTAAATAAATATTACCTACTTACTACTTACCTATTTTTACACTATTCTCGATTATCAATGCTTTTGAATACAGATTAAAGTATTCAAAAGCCTTGAAAATTACTTTAGAACTCTTTTTTAAATAAAATAAATACTTAAGATTTTCCATAAGAACAATTGATATGACAAAATACTTTCGATTAACGATTAATAATAATTTCAATCTTGTTCAGCGATGAGTACGTCACCGAGTTCGCTTGAAAAGGGAATGCAACCGTGCGAACGATAACTGATACCAATATTGATTCCATCAACGCTCAAAATGTGACGTTTATCAGACTAGCAACGGAGAACAATGAATGATAAAGCGATGTAAATTATGACCGGTGTCGCTCGTCGCCCCGCCACGGATGCAATACGCAATGCCACATTGACAGCTGAAATTGTCAACAAAGCGGCAGCATTTATTGTCTACAGTGCTAGTGCGTTCAACTGAACGAACACTCGCGCTAGCCGCGAAACGCGAACAACACGTGGCCTACTAATATTAGACCGACCGACAACGCCGGTATGACACACAAGCGATAAAATCATTAAAACACTCGTAGACTGTGAACTAGACACCCGCGAACGCCACAGATCATAAATGTTAATTCCAAGTGTGTGTAAAAATGAGCAGCAGTGGAAAATGGAGGGAGTATGCGGCAGCACTCAGTGGTCAGTTCATTTATTTATTTTTTATAACATGCTTTTTATAAGATTACGCGGTGTGGTGCATAGCAACATTGTCAGTATTTTTGTGTGCTGTAAACACCTTTTTGATAAGAACGCCTGCAAATTAGTTCAAGAACACATTGATGAAGTAAATTTAATAGATTAGATACTTTATTAATCTACATTGTATTCAATACCTTTATTATTTGCATTTAAGCTATAAGTATAGTGTAAATGGGTTAACCTACATTTTGTTAAAATGAAACTGATATTTTATTATTTACCTACTTGTGATGTGGTAAAAATTATGTTTATTTAATCCTTTAGACTTATCTTTATAAATCTACTATGTCCATAGTTTACGCATCTATTATGTACTTACACACTGTAGGTAATGTAATATTATGTGTGTGTGCAAAGTCATGGTCTCGGCCCTCCTCGGCAAACCACAGCGGCAAACATAAATATTACTTGGGTTGTCTGAACTGATTACTCGAAAATTAATATGTTACAGTGTAAAAATAAGACTATGTATTATTGTTCCTGAAAATAATTTTACTCTTTAGCATAGAACATCACAGGCAAATCAATGGCAATGTGGAATGTTTACGTTGTTTTTATCTAAGTTGTGTGTGTGTGTGTGAATATTAAAATCAATTATCACATATATGATCCACACAGAGATTACTTGGAGAAGTTTCGACAGTTTTAGCTGGTTTTCTTGTTATGATCCTCCATTAAATACGGAAATAGGAATGGTTTAATTTATTTTAATCTTAACTTCAAATATTTATCATAAGTAAATTGCATCATAATGAAGTAAATCCTGGATTATAAAATAATTAATACTAACATTTTTATTTCTATTGGTTGGGGATAAGTACTTATTGTTGACTGAAGGTGTAGATCCTTGATTTAACAGGGTTATTTTATAATTTACAAAGTAAAATTCAGCATTCCCCGCATGTTGCTGCAGGCCTCTACTATTGTCCTCGGGCTTCCGATTACAGAAGTCCTTTGTCTTGCGACGCCCCTGCACACCAGTAGAACATGGGTACTCGTCTCCTCCTCCTCCAGGCAAGCTCTGCACAGAGGGCTGTCAGAAATCCCTGTATAAGCCATGGTGGCTTACCATCATGCGGGCCATAATTATGCTTGTTCGTCACCCTTTTAATATAAAAGAAGTGCGTGTCAGTTTTCATTAAATCAATTTATACCAATTTATTGAGGGTAGTTCATTACACAAACTGATGATACGTTCAATTGCATTGCATGCTGAAGTAAATTCTTTCTTGAACATTAAAATCTTTTTAAACTACTAATCGCATTAAAACTGTAAATTCATTTGACTCTTTCGTGTTTTCAATTAAATTTTTCCATCGCCTTTTTAACGTTGCTGTAGGTATGGCAATCAACATGCAACTATATCATTATCAACTTTAAACTGCTGTCCACAATAAAATACTAATGAATATGAAATTAGTGAAATATAGAATCGTGCAAATTGGCCCAAAATTACTTAAAGACCAAGTAAATACCAGAATAATGATTCATTGTAAAACCATTATGTACCCATTTCAACTCAAAGGTTAAGAATAAAACCTTATCAGAATCCGACCTCGTGGTATTTTACCTTTGACCCACAATGGCATATCCAAAAAAAATCGAAACATCCTTTACATTGTAAATCACTTACTTTTAATTTTACAATTACATTACACAAACACATTACACATTAATTATACAATTAATGTGTTACCTACTGACCGTGACCAAACTAAGTATTCTTTAACTCTAAAGTCTTGTGACTTTTCCCATGACTTAGTTTGCAGATATTTTATTAAAAAATACACAGATTCGCGATTCTTATAGTTACTTACCTAAAAACTCTTCCTTCTTTCAAGACGGCATAAAAAACCATAGGAAGGCAACATTTAATAGTTTCATTATTCCAGAAATCCTATTCTTTGACCTTATGTATTAAAGTTATGGTAACAAAGTATTGGAGTAAATGTAAAATCCGCCAGAAACTTTTATTTTCTTTATTTTTTTAACATTACCTCACACCATTAAGCACAACACTGACGGAAAGTTTTCTTAAGTTATTCGATCAAAGACAAAATTTCATAGGTATATTGCTAGACGAGCTAGGCATTGCACAGAATTACCATAGAATGCTTGAATTATATATTGAATTATAATTATAATTACTTCTCCTGTAAAATATTCCACTATATAATATGCAGAATACAAATTCAGCTTAATCGGGGCGAAAATGATATTAGAGTACTAAGTTACTAATAATTTTAAGCCTGAATAATTCTTGCTGCTTATCTGGTATTTATTATTAACACTGTGTTGCTAGTAGTAGGCCGAAAGGAAAAAAATACTTAACCCGTTTCAATGTCTTGTTACAAATATACTATACTACCTTCACCTTTCGCGAAAATAAAATCGAACCGAAGAAATGTATGTACGATTGTGCGCGCTTAGCTACCGAAAAAGAGAATTTTTAAAATCGAACACAAACAATATATTAGAAAGAAATTATAATAAAAATAGCTAATAAAAATAAGCACAGAAAAGTACAAAACTTTAAATAGCATACATGTAAAAAATTATATTCACAATTATGGTAAGAAATTAAAAAAGAATATATGTATTTTTGAAAGTAATTAATAACCAATAAAGATTGTCATTCGTTGACGTTCGAAAATAAAAAAAAAAACTTCTAGCTGAACAAATAAAGTTATAGCAACTAACATAATACATACAATATCTATAAGTAGTCGAGTTTTTTTTTGATAAATTAACTTTATCTACTGGTGGATTTTGCTAAAAAGAGGAAGCAAATCACTGAAAAAATGGTTACAAAAGCAGTACCTAGATACTATTCAGATATCGCGTCAAAATTTATCTGAAGCAATATGATGCTGATAGCTTTGATTTGCTGCGTTGGTAGATTGTACTGTGACACCAATAAAAAAAAATCTAATGGATATTATGGCTAGATAATAAGATTTAATTTATATATTACTTTATATTATATTACATTATTTATTTTTATTTCAACATGTAATATATTTTTGTATATCTAAAATAGAAACATTATTCAATTGGGTGTAAAAAAAGAGGTACACTTTATTTTAAAAAAACTTTGTTTTTATTCAGTGGACTAAGTACATGAGTGGTAAAAAAGTAATATTTTCATTAGGTGCTTACAAAATCAATATTTTTTCTGCGTAAAAAATAGCATAGAATATCTCCTCGAACATTATAGGAGATGCCAAGATAGGTAGGCTTAAACAGTTTACTTAAAACAGGCAACAATGGTCAACTTGTATAAATATCCTGTCGAATGACTCTTTAAGAGCTCCCACACAAAACTGCGATGCTATACGATACGACGTCGCGTCGAAGGAATATTCCTGCAATACGAATTGCTGCGATACGATTTCGTGCGGCGGCATAGCTTTAGATAGGGTATACCTTCAACGGTAGCCAGCCGTGTCGGACATGTTTTAGTAATAGTGACATGGATCGCAAAAAGATTTTTGCACTGCTATTATTGTTAAATATATATATAGAAGAAACAGAAGATATTGGGTTCATCCATTTATTACGATTATGAATGCTGATGGAAACTATTTTACTCGAAAATACTATGGTTCGAGAAAAGAATAAGATGTTTTTTTATTATTATAGAATGAGCATGTTTTCATTTAAAGAGCTTTTGAGTTTATTATGACCATGTTTACAAAAACGATCGTACAAGGGAAGTCTCAGAGCGGACTAAAACGGTGGCACCAAGTTTGACGTAATATCGCAGGAATACGCGATGCGAATCAGATCGGAAGTTCTTGCGGTACGTTTGTGCGAGCTTGCAGATATTTGCACTGCGATGCGAATTCGCAGTTTTGTGTGGGAGCACTAAGGGCTGCGATTGTCTGAGCCTTGTTGGCATAAACTTGAGTAAAGTAGCCCCAAAGAAAGAAATTGGCGGTTAAAGTGGGTGATCTTGCTGGCCATGCCAAATCGCCAAATTAGAATCGTGATGTGTGTGCGGTTGCACCGTCTTGTTAAAACCACATATATTCACGCTTTTGCGGAGTATTGTGCTCCATTGGTTGTCTGTTTGTATTCTGCATCTGACTCGTTCACAAATGTGAAATATGATTGACATGCGACGCCATTTACAATAAATTATAACAATAACATCAAATAACATCTTCCGATAGTGATTACTTTTGCCCCGCCCTATCTATCGTAGGGTACAAGCTGATAACACAAACAAATACCTGGCTCAGAACTTTTTCTGTGTGAAAACAGCAGTTATTTGTTTTAGGCTAGTATTTAACTGCAAATAAAAAAAAAATACATTTTGTATAAAAACTAATTCCCAAGTCTAAGCAAAAATACTTATTGCACAGCAAAATAGTCACAGTCAAAATATTGTTATATTAGTAACAATTTAAGTTCGTGATACATCGCTATTTATGTAAAACTAAAGCTTTTTACCCGGCTGCGCAATGCAAGAGCGCGAAGCGCGACGCGCAGACAGGGTTATGTGTTTAATTACCCGGCTGCACAATGCAAGAGCGCGAAGCGCGACGCGCAGACAGGGTTATGTGTTTAACAGTCTATATATGTATGTTTGTTCCTTTGTGGCACACTAGAGACCAAACGCCTGGACCGATTTTGATGATGCATACATCAATCGATTCGTCTCAATCATGGGAGTGCTACTAAAGATATGATAGTAATCAAAATTCAATATGGGCAAAATTAGGCGCCATATTGTGACGAAGTAAAAAAAATAAGTTGAAAAATATGTCGGGGTATCGCTGTCTAGATAATCGAAAAATCATATTTAGGTTCCTAGCACCATTTTTCATTTAATATGAACGTTCAGGATCTACAACGCTTTAAAGTTGTATATTAACCACTTACGCTTTTAATTTCAATCTTACGTTTGTATGGATCTTTGTTACTCTTTCACCTAA